GATAGCAGCATTTAGGGCAAAGTACCACTGTACCTAACAAAGCTGTTAGCACACAGCTATAGGCTTACTCCCTTAACTTGTGAGCAACCTTAGCATCACATTTGTATTTAACTTGTAATTTTGTAGTATTATTTTCTCTGAAGTGTTTTTAAGGAGATCACAATTAGATTATCTTACTTTAAATACATTTAATGTTGTTTGTATTGTGGTATTGTAGAAAATTAAGTAAAAATCTTAAAAAGCTATTTCAGTACTTCGAAAAATACACAAATTTGCATAACATTGTCTTTACTTTAAAATATACAAAACAGATTAAAACTAAATGATGTACCTATAAGTACTAAAAGAAGAGTGTAAGAAAGGAAGCTTACTTTCGTTCAATATATCATAGAAAGTCTAAAATGCCACATGGTGATGCATTGGTTAACACTGTTGTCTCACTGAAAGAAAGTTCTGTGTTTGAGCCTTGTGGCTGACCAGTGCCTATACATGTTCTCCTTGAGAGAGTATAAGAGTGCTGCACCTGTCAAACTCGGGTGTGAAGTGACGATTTATGACATGATTTATGGCGTTTTAGCTTGCCTACTTTTTGCACTTCACTTCCATTTAGACAAGAGTCTGTCCACTTTTATGGCATTTAATTAGAGACTTTAAAAAATTTTGCACTTAGGTGTTACTTTTCATCTTTGAAGCACTTTATTTTAGGATTGACAGAAGGTTTTGATCATAATTTATGGTTTTATAACAATATTAAATGATTTAATTGGGGTTTCCCATGAGAACAGAACAGAGGGTTCTATCACAGACTAGGGCTATTACATCAAAGGGATTTTAATTGGGCTTTCCATAGCAATAGGACAGAGCAGCAGCACACAGATTTAGTTTGTTGCTCTCTAAATATTGTATAAATGTAAGGGTTAATGTTTTTCTTTAAATTTAAAAAAGAAACAAGAAGGAGACAGAATACAAAGAAATTACAAAGAAATAAAAGGAATCCAATTCAACAGCTATGTTTGTGGACTCCATGTTTGCTCTGTTGCGCACATACTGTTAGTGTCTGTTCCAGTCACACAGAAGATGTCACGATGACGTATTGTGGTGCTCATGCTGTGAAATGGAAACACAAGTGTGTATTGGGACCAGGCACAGCAGGTGTCCCTGTACACCAGCTGAAAAACTCTTTGTGGGGAATAGCTTGTGGCCTGGAAAAGAGCCCTTGCAGATTACACAGGGTATTGAGAGCAGGAGGGCGTACTGTGCAATGTGTACAATGAGAGTGTTCCGGTACTGCATTGTTTCTGAGATGGAAAAGCAATGCTTAAGGCAGCCAGGGATGACTGGTGAAGTGGGATCTGAAGATCTAAAATAGACTAAAATTGTTGTGGTCGAACCATTGAGTGAGAGAGTTAGTACTATAATGTTGGTACTCCATCTTTGTAGTACACTGTAGGAGCTGTTGTGTAAAGATGATTCACCCATCCCACACCTCTGCAGCATGTGGGAGGGAATGTAATGGGCATTCTGTTGACAAGGGGTGAAAGAGAATTGGGAGAGTGAAGGCATCTCTAAGAGGCTCAAAAATAAAACAGTCAAATCTTAAGCCAGTGATTTTTCTGGAAACATACTCCTTACTACAGAACCTACACCTAGCTCAAGATATTTTTAGGTGAAGATCTACAAGAAAGAAGGTGGCACTGTGTGTTTTTACATGGACAAAATACTCTAAATAACAATACGGACATTAAGTCAATGAAAACCCACACGGTCCCAGTAACTAGATGCAAAATTTTAACATAGGCTAAGAGAATAAATATGCCTCCTGATTGTACAACTACACACTGAATTATTCATAGGAATCAATATTATATTATACTGTCAATCACATCACGTAGTATAATTCATCACAAGCACAAAATAAGCTGACACTTTGTCAGCTATGAATGATGCAACTGCCCCTGTGTTCAAACTATGTTGTGTATATGAGACTCAACAAAAACAAAGCAATTCTTTGTCAAAATCAGATTAGGAGTGTGTGAGATGGAACCGCACAGTCCAACTAGTAATAATTAATTAAAAGAGGAGATATTGATGTTATACAATGAAAGGAAATCCAGGCATTATTGACCATATTATGAATGTCATTTACAGCAAAAGACTGAAATGACGGATTTTCCGGCAGCGGCAGGTTTTTATTTCCTGAGACATGCTTATTTAAGACATTACTCAGCAAAACAAAGCCAAGTGAGCTATAGTGAAGAGTTCCATTAAAGGCCTGGAAATGCTTTTGGATTGACTTGTGGAGCTATGTGCGAATGAATGCCCAGTAAATTATTAAAATAGCACCTTGTCCTAGTATGGATGTAATATATATCTATCTTTGAGATATGCAGTCACTAAGCTGAAGCGTCGTTTTAATGCTTTGCCTGCAGCAATGGAAATCTACAGTCTCAAGGCTAGACCAGTCTTTTGCACCGAATAGTTGAGTGGGATTTCTTGAGATAAATCTTGAAAAACAAGAATCAGACTTAGACAATTCTATAAATACAGGTTTTCTCTCTTGCTTTGGCACTTTTCTTGAATCATCCTTAACATCTGCAAAACAGTAATTAAATTTCTCAAAAGAATTTGTACAAACAGCACCGTACAGTGGATTACTTGCAAAAGCGCATCACTTTCTCAAAATCCTTCGTTTATCTCTCAAAAGTACATTTTATGTCAATGCCATCAGTATGGGTTCTTTGTGTTATTGTTTATGAGCAAGACAGTCAAAATCTTAGTTATGTTGTCAATTAACAGTGTATTCTAAGGATTTTCTGATGTAAAGTACCGTATGGCATGTATCAGTTTCAACAGTACAAAGTTTCACATTACTGTATGTGGGAGATTGCAAAAAAAATTGGACAGGATTTACATTGACGCTTTCCTGTTTTTTTTCTGTCATTGTGATACAGAAAAGAAAGTGTTTTTGTTACAGCGAACCGTATGTGTGCTTGTTCAGACTCAGAAAAAGGCAGAACTCGGACTCAGGCTTGACCAGGTAAACGTATTTTACTGACAGAACTGAGAAGTGGTCAGAATCGGTCATGTCAGCCGATCTCAGGGCAGCGGGGAGTGCTGGGATGACTTGACTGCTAGAGCTACAACCCAAGGTAGTAGGAGAGGTGCAGCTGGCTAAAGAAAAGCAGAGGATGAGAATGAGTAACAAGGATGCTATGGAAATGGCAATACTGATAGGTATACTGAGGACCTGAGGAGCAGAATTTACTGGCTCTAGGCAGGTGAGCGTTGTAGGCTACAAACACAGTCCAGGGGGAGGTGTAGGAGCTGGCATAGGCGATCACTGGTCCAAAGTGCAGTACTACCGTCGTGGTGAGGCTCAGGCTCGCAGTAGATGACAGAGCAGGTAGAAGGGCAGTGCAATGAAGACTGACAGGTGAGATCCAGAGCCGTGCAGCAAGTCCCAGCAACAGTTGGTCTCCTCATCCTGAGTTAAAGGTTCACAGTCCAGGCACGAAATCATGCCAATAAAAAAAAAACACAAAATGGCCAAAACCAGAGGATACACCAATCCACAGTAAGACAGTTCAAACAGAAAGCAGCCCGCAAAATTAAGAAGGGCATATAGTTCCTTAACACAAGTTCACAGTAAAACAAATCAAACAGAAAACGACCCTTCAAAAATAAGAAGGGCATTTAGTTCTTTAACACATGAAATCAGGTCCCACAACATAGAAGCAGTTCATACACATGGAATCCTTAAAGTAAAGCACAGCACAAGTACTAACAGGACCGCAAGAGATCATCTGGCAACAAGGACACACCAATGCTCCCTTTAAGTACTAGTCTGGTAATTGAGAGCAGGTGTGCCTCGCCGCCTAGAATGCATTCCCACCTGTGCGGAGGCAGAGCTACTGTGACAGCCCGTGCCACCTGATGAAGCGCTCGGGGTGGACAGGGCCACGGACGTAACAGTTTTACTGCACTTCATAGCACAAAGGACTGTATAGTGTATAATAAGTGGAATGCTGTGTGTAATTTGAAGTGTTACAATATTACAGCACAGTGAACATTGTTAGCTTACATACCTATTCTTTCTAAGAAGTGTGTTAATGATTGACGTCATGGTTGGTCTAACACTGGGCTTCACCCAACGTGGTCTGTATGCGCTTATGACCTTGGCCTCTTCTACCCCTTCCTCTGTTTTGCCCCACCACCCTTCCACAATGAGGTCTTCTTCTTCTTCTTCCTTGCATTTGATGCAGTTCATTTCCTTGTTTTAACATTGTCAGAAATTGTAACATTGTGTTCTGCTCTGTTTATACAGTATATGCTGCCAAAGGGTCAGCAGATACACCTCTGAGCTATTAGTGAACTGGTTGATCTAACACTTCACACATTCTCCTTCATTAGTGAAAGTCAAGATTCACCTGAGAACAGATTATTGACAACTGGTTCACCCATTTTGCCTATAATGGCTTCTGAACTAATGCCTAGATGTTTTGGGAGATCAGACTATTCAACAGAGAATCGGTATAATACATCTGGTTAATAATGTAGAAAATAACAGGCATTTGTACAAAATCATTTGCATCAATGTGCCAAAGGGCTTGCAATTTGTTCAGAAGATGGAGAAATTGCTTACAGTATATGGAGTACACAATGGACTAGATGATGTGGAGCCTGTACAAGTAGTTAAGAGAATTTCATTTCTGATTCAAGAAATGCACTATAGTAAGTGAGAAAAACCGCATTAGTTTGTTAATAAGTCTGTCCCAAACTTGGGGCAGCAGACAGTCAGCTCTGACCTTAATTATTTTATAAGAAAGGTAATTCGCTTTCACTTTGGGCACTGTTGGCAGCGCTAGCCTCAGGAAATTGCAAATGTCTGAAACAAAATTATATCACTTATACTCTGTCTGCTGTATAGTACCCTTGCACATCTCTGACTCATTGTTATTGTCAACTATATCTACATTACCATGCTGTTTTCCTCCCTACAGGACTACACTTTGACTATGTACTTCCAGCAGTACTGGAGAGATAAGAGACTGGCCTATGCAGGGATCCCTCTCAACCTGACACTGGACAACAGAGTAGCAGACCGGCTCTGGGTCCCTGACACCTACTTCCTCAATGACAAGAAGTCCTTTGTGCATGGTGTCACTGTGAAGAACCGTATGATTCGACTCCACCCTGATGGCACTGTCCTCTACAGCCTCAGGTGAGCACTGTTACCATAAGTTTTTCAAGAGCATCTTTTACCTCCCTCAGTGGCACAGAGAACAAGGCCTTTATTAGTGACATATCAGAAATATCTCTTGTTCCCCACTTAGTGCAAACATTCAGACTTGCTCCTTGTTTGCCTGTTGTTCTCTAACAGTTCCACCAGAATTATAACATTAAAAGCCCAAATGCCTCTTTCTTTTTCATTGTTTTCTTTCTTTCTTTTATAGGTAGGCTTTTAATGTGGGGAAAAAAAAAACATCAGGGGCTCTATTTTCCTGCAATAGGGTGCAGTGCTAAACATTGACTGCAAGGTACATATTGGCATATTCATTCACCTTTTAAACCGCTCAGTCCCAAATGGGGTCACAGGCTGGAGCCAATCCCAGCCAGCAATCAGGTGAAGACAGAGTACACTCTGGACAGGCCGCCAGTCCATCGCAGGCATCACTGACAAACAACCACTCACACATACAGGCAATTTAGAGTCACCGATCAACCTAAGGTACATCTCTTTGGGCAGTGGGAGGAAGCCAGAGTACCCGGAAAGAACCCACGCAAGCATGGGGAGAACATGCAAACTCTGCACAGAAAGGTCGTGAACCCACAACCATCTCGCTGTGAGGCAACAGCGCTAACCACCATGCCATTTTAGTGACCACAGATGCAGCACATTTTTGTGCACTGGAGAAGAGGCGAAATACGTTGTGGATTAAGGGGTTAATTTTATGCTTCCCAGCCTATGCATTTGTCAGGAAATATTTCAAATGCACCTGCAACAGTGATAAGAAGTGGTCTGAGCTGGGGTTCTCGTTATCTTTTTTTCAGGTCAAAACGGGCACCAAAATTACACTGCACAGCCTAATTAAATATACATTGTACAGATTATACAGATCCATACAAGTCTCTATTTTAAGTACTCTATTTTTATTCCTATTTATCTCGTTTCACAATGAGCATTCCTTTGTCTTTCTGCGTTGTTTACTGCCTGTTTATACAGCTTTTTTCATGGTTAGCACTGTTTGTTGCTTGTTAATACTGCTTATTTTGTTATATTACACAGCCTTAGGTTGGTTCACTGTTTACTTGCCCCTTGCATGTTGATATGTACATGCACATTGAGAGCCGATGTACCAGAGTCAAATTGCTCGTGTGTCCGACACACCTGGCCAATAAAGCAGATTCTGATCCTGATTCTGATTCTGATTAACATACACATGGCCTCGAGTGCACCTCTTCTCCCACTTCAGTGTAATCACATTCATTCATGGCAGGAAAATACCAAACACACCCGGACAAGATTGGGCATTTTCAGGGTGGTATGCCCGTAAGCAGAACCAAACACACCAATGCGCAAAAAAAGTAGACATGCACCTGAGGAAAACTCCATAAGGACTGCATTTGAAGTGATGCAGAAATTGTGCTGGCAGGAAAATAGAGCCCCAGGTGTTGTCAAGTACTGACTTTCGATGGCAATAACTTAACACTGATTAGGAGTGCAGCAAATAAGAAACAACAATAGGTACACCAGGTTTCCATTCATTTTGACCACGTTTGAGAAAATTGGCAAAAGGAAACAGAAATTAAGTTGCACTTCCTTCTACTACTTTTATGTAAATATTAGGAGTTGATATGTTGAGATAAACTACTGGTGGTGCACATTTTACAGTAAGGTGCCATTAAGTTACTTTACATGGGACAATTAAAAGAGCACCAGCAAAACCTCAAACAGTGAAAGGCAATGTAGAAAACGTGGGAAATATGACATTTCTGTTTGTTTCATGTATTCATTTTGTTTTTATTTGCACACCAAATTTTGTAAGTCATCTGAATGTAAAAACATTTTTTCTATTTAGTAAGTGATCTATCTATCTATCTATCTATCTATCTATCTATCTCATTTTTCCCATTCAGTCATTTTATGCACTAAATAGGAAATTACAGGGCATCTCCATCTACAAGGTAGATGGAGATGCCCCTTATGTGAACTGTTGTTGTTGGCTACACATAGTCTTTTCTCAGCTTTTATTTGTTTGTTTGTGGGCTATTGTTTGACCCATTATCAGGATACTTTATAACTTACAGTACTATACTGTCATAATCTTCACTTAATCTCATTTGAGTAGGGCACAATGCAAACCAAGATGGTGCAACTACTTGAAGACAAATTTAAGCAGATTGCAGTTAAAGGCCCCATTTACACTTTGACACCATTCAAGTTTGATATCTTGATAAAGTCCAGATATGATACACTTTAAATAACACTTACACTTGCATACACTGTATATGCATTTCCATTAGCCAGATAGAAAGTCTGATTGCATCAGTATTGGCTTTCCTCTGCCTTAACACACTCCATTCTGACCCAGTTTGGTGCAGTAAAAATCAAGTATTCATCTTGGAGAGACTAATATTTTCAACATCTCACACCACCCTCCGAGATGGTTTCAGTGATTAGCTAGCAGTGCATCGCAAATGCTTTGCTTTTAATTGTTTGCATTTACTCTTGTCTGTTACACTACTGCAGCTATCCAATCTGCCCAAGATGCATGAAGTGGCTAAATGTTTTGTTTTCTTGAAGTCATTTAAGCTGCAATTCTCAAAGCTTAATGCTGGAACAGTGAGTCTCACATCAACCCATATCTCATAACTCATCGCATATGTTTATTTGGACCTCAAGACGGGATTCTGTGATCATTTGTTTAGTTTGACATTAGTTTTATCTTGTTATTACACAGACTGAAGGGAAACACTTTGTTATGGGTTGCAGCAAATCTGCTTCTATTTGACATTATGCTTTAGTAAAATGTCTTCATGAATAAACCACACTGTCGCCTAAGCATTGTGCATTTCTCCCTTTTTTTTGTTTTTTTGTTTTTTGCTTCAGAATCACGACGACAGCAGCCTGTATGATGGATCTGAGGAGATACCCCCTGGATGAGCAGAACTGCACTCTGGAAATTGAGAGCTGTAAGTTGAAGCCCCACATCATGTGCTAAAAGAAACACAGAGAACAGCTCCACTTTGTCATTAGATAAAAATGTGAATAGCACTGTGAATCACATAAAAAGGTTCTCACACTCCTCATCTTGTAGAGACAGAAACTATCGACAGTCATGGATCCCTTGCCTGTGGTGTAGTTCTGTCTGCCTGCAGTGACACACCCCATGAAGATTTACATCTCGTGTAATCAGCACTTAGAGCCAGCTCGGTCTCAGCTGTAGCAATTAGGCTCCCAGATTTCACTTAAGCAAATAAAGTACAAGATTAATTTTAGCCCTGCAACCAATTGAGACAGTGCTTTTTCACTCATATGGATCGCACCTTGTCTTGTTTTTGTGTACCTTTTTGCAGATGGTTACACAACAGATGATATAGAGTTCTACTGGAAAGGAGGGGAGGCCGCTGTGACTGGGGTGACACGCATCAAGCTCCCTCAGTTCTCCATAGTCGACTACAAGCTGGTTTCCAGGAATGTGGTCTTTTCCACAGGCGAGTAAAGAGTCACACTGAAAGAGGATGAACGTCACAATAACTCATTACGTATTTATTAATATATGAAATAGCATCCTATGAAGTGATTTTCATACTTTTACTAAAGGTTGTAGCCTTTTTGTTTTTTATCTAACATTGCACAAGTTTGTAGTTTTAATTCCATTCCCTTAAAGCAGCTGAAAAGCATTTTTCCATAGCATTAAATATTCATGACCAAAAAGGCAACATCAAACATAAAAACATGTTTTTTAAGTGCTATTTATTAAGAATTAACACTTCAAACCTTTTGGTTTTGGAAAAGCTAAAAGAGGAAAAGAATGAATACATGTTTCTCTGATGTGAAATGACCACAAAGTGTTAACACTTCAGCAGAAGTTAGTGTTTTTACAAAGTACTCTCCTCCCTCATTTTAAGATGCTAATCGAGAAAGTACATTTTGAGGGCCTGTACTTTTTCATGAGGCACCCAAATGTCAATGCATCTCTTGCATTTTGTTTTCCTGCAATAGTCCATGTGCACTTTCTTAATTACAGTAACTGCATCATATCATGACCTTTCTATAAAACCAGAACTGGGAATAATAATAGAGTGGCAATTACCCTTTGTTTCTTCAAGCTCTTGATAAAAGAACTGTGGCTGTACTCACAGCTTTATAACATATTCATGAGACAGAGCTCAAACAGCATGAATTATTCTTTTATTATACAAAACATCAGAAGCAGCAAAACAGTGATTATTACCACTGAATTAATGACAAGAAGGATGGACACTGTCTGAACATTTCTGAGAAGATAATACTGAGAGGGCTCCTTGGGTCAAAGGTAAATAAACCCTAAGGAGAGTCTACAGATAAGGATAAGCTCTGAAAATTTCTAACTATTCCTTTGACATAATATTTGTGTAATCAGTAGTTATATGTCTTTCTGTATTGTTGTATTTGCACACAGATCATCTCCATGTAATTGTAATTTGAACTATGCTTGCTTGTTTGCATTGTGATGCAGTCAGTCCTTGAGTCCATCACCATCACACCACACCATCACCAAGCCAAGCCTGGTTTCAAAAAGGGTTATTTTACTTTCACTGTCTGTTCCTGCAGGTGCCTACCCTCGACTGTCTCTGAGCTTTAAGCTGAAGCGAAACATTGGCTACTTCATCCTGCAGACGTACATGCCCTCCATCCTCATCACCATCCTTTCCTGGGTGTCATTCTGGATAAATTACGATGCCTCAGCTGCCAGAGTTGCATTAGGTATGATCTGTCCCATGCAGTACATCGACCACATGCCTGTAGTGTCACCTTCAGAAAGATGTGCTTTGTAATCTGGGCCTACAAGGCCTGTGAACAGTAACCACCCAAAGCTAGAAGCCTGACAGAGGATTTTAAACTCTGCTGTGATTCAGTTCTGAGAATAAATTAGGAATTGATGGTAAAAGGTGGCTGTAGGTGGAAATGCTGAGAATCCAGTTACACTCTTAGGTGTAAAAATTACAGACTCGTTACAAACTCTTTCGGCCTTTAAAAATCAAGAAAATGTCTAGCACATTTGTCATTTATGTATTTTTATGTTTGAATTTAATCCAGCCAAACAATACTTTCTGAATCCTTGTTATAATTCTGTTGAGCTCATAAGTTAGTGTCATAGTACTGTACTCTAGACTGTGATACTAATGGGATGAACCATTATGTAATAGAGTAATATTATTGTGTTGTGTTACAGTTCTGACCAAAAATGTTTACATAAATGCCAAGATATCTGCTTTAAAAAATGTCTGTAACAACCACGAAGGTTTTAGCCTTCCGCAGTGTGCAGTTTCTTTTCATAGAAATAAAGGTGTGGCAGCACATAGCCTTAATATTGGTGCGTTAAAAGAGCAACTGCTACAAAAAACAGACTAAGCACAGAAAGATTGCCCTGATATGAGCACTGACAACAACATGTTCTGAGGTGTTAAAATGTAGCACTAAGCTGATATCTGGTTTTTCTCATAGGAGGCTTTTTGGGCTCTAGCTCCACTTTCTCTTTTGAATGTGATTGCACTTCTGCCCTTTCACTGTGTCTCTTTCCTAAACACTCATACCAGCAGTTGGCAGGTAGTTTGCTGCAGTTGTGCACCATCTTGCTCACATAGCTAGAGAAAGAAAAAGAGATGGTTGGAAGTAATGAGGATCTCAGGCTAATAAAATTTACTGTACTGTGACCTGAGGAGATGTTGGGCTGGATGTTGTTGGCCAGCAGGAGACATAAACAGTGGCTATGACCTTGCCAGTGGTTTTATTTATGTTTCTAAAACAAACCAGAAGTGATCTTTCCACTGTTAGTGTGGATTTTCAAGACATCTTAGCAAAATTAGCACTAAGTTGAACTTAAATATTACTATATTACATAATTTAATTTCAGATGTGGAAAAGTTAGTACTGTCGCCCACCAGCAAGAAGGTTCCGGGTTCGCGCACTGGCCGAACCTGTGCCTTTCTGTGTGGAGTTTGCATGTTCTCCCTGTGTCTGCGTGGGTTTTCTCTGGGTGCTCCGGTTTCCTCCTACAGTCCAAAGACATGTAGGATAGGTTGACTGGTGACTCTAAATTAGATTTTTGATTTGATTTGATTTGATTTATTCTTTCAAGCATGTAAAACAGTTGATATGACAACACACATAATTTTACACATAATCCAATATCAATTTGCTTCTACCTAGTACATGCTTGAATGGAGTAGGAAGAAGTCAGACTTATCCAGTCCTACCCCATGACATCATCTTAACATCATTGGTTTGCAAGCAGTAAATGATTCACTTCTACACACACACACATTATACTAAAAAAAGATTATAACTGTGTTAACATTCTTACATCACACAAGTAGTATACTAAAGAATTGTTACAAAATGTACACCACACCCACAATTGTCCATGTAATTAATCATTGAGCCTGTTCTTGCATATATCTTGATTGACACATAC